GGGCTCGTCGGAGCCAAGCTGCCGCGCCGGGAATCGGCCATCTGTGAGGGGCCGCCAGCCTGTGGCTCTCCTGCCTGCCTCGGCTGTGCCTTGCGCGGCAGCGCGTTACTCCTGGGCTTGTACAGTCCTGTTTAGGGACAGATGGAACGGCTCTTCGTTTTTACGCTAGGTAGTAACGCTCTCTATGTGATGTGAAGGTGAGTGCAAGACTTGTCACTGGTGGAGGAGCTGCTAAAAGCGATAGAAAAATAAGCTGAAGGTGTGAGCTGAGAGGAGGATGGCTACCCCAGCTCTACTTTGGAGCCGGATCCAAAAGATATCGAAGTCCGCAGGAATCTTTTCCCTGGTGTAACATGTGCATATAGACCTTAGAGCTCCTAACACGATTCTCAGTTGCCCTTCTCCAGTGCAAGATTTAGTTCTGGGTGGACCTGGGCTGGTTTTCATCATTGCTGAAAACGGGCTATAACAGGGAACTGACAGGGTAGAAGGAGCATTATCGAAAGAATGAATCATGTAACTGCTCAGTCTTCTTGTCCTGCTGTTGTTCGTGTCTTGCTCTCATTTTATGTTGTTTTTGCAAAATTTGTTGTCACACATCTAGACCCATTAGCTTGGGATTGCTGCAGCAGCTCAGACAACTGGAGTAGCAAGCCATCCCACAAAATTCATAGTAAAATGCATGTGAAATCTCCAGCCTTTCTGCGTGGTGCGTGAGATGGTGAGAGCCTGGTGTTCTTTTCAGCACTTCCCGCTGTGCTGATCTGCATTTTGATGGCTGCACTTAGTTTGGCAGCGCCGGCCCAATGCAGAACAAACTAGATAATTGAGGATATCTTCCCTTTGTTTGGAAAGAGGAACCCTCCACTTAGCCAGGCTGCAAAAAACCAACACTACTAATCTCTTTTTATAGGTAGTCCCAGAGCAATATTTCGTTCTGTGAAAGTTAATTATTATGCAGTTATTATATAGTTTGGACAGACTGAGTAAAAGAAAGCTGATTTCTATTCTGGCATTGTGACTAATGTGGAAGAAATGCTTCATCTGACTTTTGCCTTCTTCCATTAACCGTCATATGCTCCTTTGCTTACTAGGACAAAATGTGCAGACATGGTCAAGATTTGAAATTAAGGGCTTCTTGAAGGTCAAACTGAGCTTGGGGGTTGAGGATACAAGGTATGCGCGCCTTTTTTTCATCCCTAATTCTGAGACTGCGCAAAGGCTGAATCCAAGTTTGAGGAATGCTCTAAACTACACTGGCAGCCTGTTCTGAACTGGGTAGTCAGCTTGCTGCCCATGACAGAGTGACCCCTGTGCCAATTCTAGGCCACTTGCACTGAATTCCTTTACTGTATAAAGAGAAGGAGAGCGGTACAAACAGAAGTTAAACTAAGCTGTCTTTAGCCTAAAATGATAAAAGTAGTAATTCCGAATTCTTAAGGAATACCTCAGGGCTAATGAAGGCTGCATGAAGAACCTTCTAAGAGAGATAATCTCCATTTAGGAAAAAGTACCAAGTTATAAAAGGAAGAACAACTCACTTGCAGGTCTTGCTTTGGATTACAAGTGCCCAGATCCTGTTTTAGGCATCCACATGGAGAACTTTCCTTTCCTGATGGATCAGGTCCTTAGCGTGTTGTGGTAAAACGGTAGTCATGTTGGGAACTAAGAGAGAAAATCAATTTCCTGCTGTGGCTCTCTAGTCTGGAGTGTGAAACCTCAGTGTTGATTGCCTTGACTACTCCTGTTTCTCCTCTGCAGTTCTGGAGGAGCTTCCATAATCTGTCACTTAGCATCCCCTTTTTGCTTTTATATCTGTCAGGAGAGAAGATAAGCTAGGGAGAAACTCCTGCTTTTCCGTTGTTCCTCCTGTTGCATGATTACACAGTAACGAAAGGGAAATTAACATTTGGAACCTCCCTTTGCTGTTCCTAAATGCAGTTGATATTTCACTGATTGCTTTAAAAAATGAATTAAGCTGGAGTGACCTGGGCCACTGCGATACAAAGCTGAAATGCTTGCACCAGGTTTAGTATGCGTCGATGAATCAGTGTTAAATCCACACCTTCCCCCTGGATCAAGTTTTCAGAGATCTTTCTGTGCTCCTAAGTAAGCAGTAAGTAAGGAAGTTGTTTCAAAATGTCTCAAAACCATAGTAAAAACCTGGAATTTGTTGCCAGAGAAGAAAATAAATATATCCTTGCCTTTCTTTGGGGTGTGGTGAATTTCAGCTCTTACATGGAGAAAATGGCCCCAGGAGGATGAGTGGAATCAGTGAAAATTTGATGGAGCTACTGTTGAGGCGTGTGGGGGGGGTGACCTTTGGTTCCTCAGGTGATCTGATTTATGGGAGAAGCCTGCCTGCTCCCTGTGCGTCAGTCACCACTGTAGGGTAAGTCCTTCAGGTAGTGCTGACCTGAACCCAGCAGTGGTGTACAGATGCTGGCACTCATGTGGCTGCAAGAGCAGCACAGTAATGATGCTCCATGTAGGCTCCCCTGCCCTTTTGCTCACCAGTGCAGAGGTACAGCTTAGGCAGATGACCCTCCTCATGCTCCTCAGGTCTCTGCTGTAATTTGTGAAGGAGAGCAGCTCAGCCGAAGTAAGGGTGCTATATGTGGTGGTAAGCTACGTGAGGAGGAAGGGAGAACACCCTGGGGAAGGACAGGCGGTAGCATGACCCTTCTGGTGGACTGTTTTCAATGGTTTCTATTGACCCTGGAGCCTAGCTGAAGCTGCTCTTACTCTGCACTCCTACTAGGGAGCAGTTTAGACCTCTCTGCCTGCCACCTCTGACCTTCTGCTGCCTCCAGCTACCTATGCCTAACATGTGCTCCTTGACAGGAGTGCTTTCTCAGTCCTCTATAGTGTTAGTAAGGTTGAGGTTTCCTACTTCTCCTAGTGTTTTATTTGAGATGCTTTACAGGAGTCTCATCTTTGCAGAGAATGGGCTCCCCTCTATCCTCTCTATAGCCTCCCTTTTCAAACTCTGGAAACACGAGACCCGTATGTAGAGAATTTCCTAGCTACCATACAACTCTGCTTTTCCTCTTTCCCCAAGCCAATCCAAATAGTTAAAGATGACATAGGCATTGCCAAATATTTTCTTGGTTATACAAACACACATTCTTAAGAACGCTATTGTATAGTATCTAGGTGCTGCAGCCGCATTCACGGCTACTGTCGGCTGAGGTAGGTCCACTTGATTTTGTTGCGGCTGAAAGACCTGGTCCTTTTTCTCCCATATGCTGTTAACTTTTCCTTCAGCTTCCTATTAGTATCCCTAGGTAAATATAAGCAGGAAGAAAATCCCAAAGGTTTTTTCTGGTTTCTGCCTACCTTCCCCCCATTCAAATAAAATAAGACTGGCATTCTCATTAAGAGATAAGCTGTCTATTAGAACATGTAGGAAGGAGGTAACAGAATTAAGAGAAGGGAAAAGAGAGGCTAAATTTCCAGGCAACTAATGGAAAACCAGTTCCCCAAACCTCAGCATTCTTATCTCTTTGAACTTTTTCTCTTTCAGCTTCTTTAGCCAGATGACCTACCTGTCTTAATTTACCGTATTAGGAGCTAATTTATTCAGCCTGGGCAGTCTTT